TTGCCAAGTCTCACATGTATTTGGAGGTGACTGCGGATGTAGGACCCACATAACGGTAGGGATGCAACGATTATAAGTCGTAATTTACGTTTGCCAAGTCTCACATGTATTTGGAGGTGACTGCGGATGTAGGACCCACATAACGGTAGGGATGCAACGATTATAAGTCGTAATTTACGTTTGCCAAGTCTCACATGTATTTGGAGGTGACTGCGGATGTAGGACCCACATAACGGTAGGGATGAAACGATTATAAGTCGTAATTTACGTTTGCCAAGTCTCACATGTATTTGGAGGTGACTGCGGATGTAGGACCCACATAACGGTAGGGATGCAACGATTATAAGTCGTAATTTACGTTTGCCAAGTCTCACATGTAAAGAATGAAAGAATAATAAAGTAAGATATATAATAAGAGAGCAGGATGTGGGTGCTCAAGCCCACAACGTTCCACACCCATACCACCCTTCACTGTCTGAAGACAGTTATGCGAAGGTGGTTGCTCTCAGAATACAAAAAAATTAAAAGAAAAGCAATGAAAAATGAAAGATGAGTGATCAATAAACTATTAGTACGTTTTTTATTAACCACAAAGCTATACAATGGGCTTTCTGTCCTGTGCCCACCACTGGTATCGAAACATGGTTTTTAGCGACATGCGCTTCAGACTTACCGCTGAGCCACTGGAGAGCGAAAAAATAATAAAGATGAAGTAATTTTTATTTTATTTTTTGCTTTTTAATTATTTGTTATTTATTTTTCATTTCACTTCTTCTGCCATCAGTCATCTTTCCATAAGATGATATAGCTATGGATCCATAGTATGGGACATTGTGAATTTGAGCACCCACATTTTTCTCTCTTATTTTATATTAATTTTTCTTATTCTACTCTATTATTCTTTTATTTATTTTTTTAGGCTTGTGAGGCTTGGTAAACGGAGATTAAAACTGATCGCCCTTTCAGCCGTGGGGGCGTTATAATGTGACGGTCAATCCCACTATTCGTTGATAAAAGAGTAGCCCAAGAGTTGGCGGTGGGTAGTGATGACTAGCTACCTTCCCTCTAGTCTTACACTGCTAAATTAGGGACGGCTAGCGCAGATAGCCCTCGTGTAGCTTTGCGCGAAATTCAAAACAAACAAATAAACAAAATTAAGACTGATAGACGGTGTATCCCAACCGCTATGTATGTCCTATTTTCACAGTCATCTCCAAATGCTCAGGATACGTTTTAAATTTCCTGTTATGCAGCGTTATATTTTTATTAAGACCTGTTGTGAGATATACGATATTTGAAACTACTCTCCTTTCTATAATATTCAAAACTCGTCTCTACATAATATTCTGTTTTATATTTGTATAACAAAATGTTCCTATGTTTTTTTAAACAGGCAACTGTGACACTTCTGGAAAACCTGGACATTATTATGCAGAAAACTCGAACAAGTGATATGAAATCAAATGTTCTTCAAATGTTGTACAATGCTTTCGACTCTACAACTCCTCAAATTCAGGTAAGAATTTCACGTTTTTGTAGCTGTACGTTTTGCAGAGTTCTGCATAGGACCAAGATTATTTTTAAAGTAATAAAGGTATCATTTAAATTTTCAGCGAACATTTTTATCTACACGTTGTAAAACTCATCAACGCTGAAATAATTATAACCTTTACATAATTTTTCTGTTTTACCAGTATAGCAACTCATATTTTTTGTTACCTTTGTAATACTAGTGCTCTGTACTAACTATAAGTGTGTACTAACTATAAGATAATTAAACCTAAACAAAAATTAAGCATTTTTAATATCTCGACGTCCATCAATAATTTGGGGAAAATATTAATATATATTTGATAGAATATTAATCATTTACAACAGAATGTTATTAAATGATAAATATATCTGGTATAACATTATTAATTGTAAATACACTTTATTAACTATAATATATATCTAATGTAGTTTATTTGTAACTGTTGATACACTTCCCACATATTTAGATAATTAGTCACTGTTGTTACTCAGCAACCAAGATTCTGTGTCGATACCACAACAGTTTAGTCTTTAATTATCACATGGTCTCGCCAAGGAGTCTTTTCTACATAAAACAAATTGTCTTCAATTATTATTTTAATTACAAAAACACACTAGACTGAAGGAAGATAAGTGCTGTATGAAGTTTACACATCTATAGAGTAATTTATAGTTTAGTTTAACACGTAAGTAAAAAAGAAAATTGCTTTAACTAGATATGATTTATTGATTCGTATTGCACTCTATATATATAATCAAGCTATGTAAAGTGAACAGTACAAATATGTTTAATTTTGCCTAAATATGTACACCTCATTTGTAACCTTAATTAGCACATCATATAACAACGCTCTTTAGACAAGTGTTTTTTGTAATTCCTACATTAAAAGAAATGAGAGCAAAAAATCTGAATTTTAGAATGGCTTATCCACATTTCCTTGAAACAGTTTTCAAACCACATTTGTGATATAGTAACGTTCCAATATGTATTAATATCACTTTCCAGGGGTTCGTTAAATCTTCCAAATTTTACAGTATTTCTATATCCTGCTGTTTATTATTTCATCATTCGTGGCTCAGTGTTACATGCGAAATCTTACAACGCTAACACTTGGGATTCAATTCATGGGTGAGCACAGCGCAAGATATTCAGTTGTGCAGATTTACACTTAAAACAAACAAATCAACTTTCGAAAACATTATAAATTGTGTTATTCTGAGATTCAAATCGTCTATATTTTGTCAGTCAGTCTTGTGATCGTTTTAGTGTGCTGCTTTACACGCGGTGGCTCAAGTCGCTGACCATCTAGATGAAGGCCCTATTCGGAGGATGATTTTACCAAAAACGAAACAAGTTTTCGAAAATAACTTTGGTGTAAAGGTGAGAATGTTATGGTTTATAAGTTGTTGTTTGTTTTCTTTTTCATTTTCTGTAACCTTGTCTATTGTAAAGAAATGTCACAAAGCTTTATATTATTTTTACTATTAGACTCCAGAAATATTTATTGTAGATTTGGAAACTCGCAAACTTTTACACTTATCAGTCAGTTTAACTTCCTAAGTACGTTATATTACACTTTTGTTTTTTACTTTAGGTCCAAGCCAATGCTCTAACATGTGTTGAAAAAATTATTGACAAGCTGGAGAAAACAGATATTTTAGACGAAGTTCTGCCTATGCTCAACAAAGCCAAACTCCAGGATCCGGCTGTACTAATGCCAGTAGTAAGTAAGTGTCCGATTAGCATTTTTTTTTCATATATTATTTTTCAAATAAATGCTTATTCATTTTGAAAAATGACTCTGGGTAAGTATCAAATTAAGCGAATTAGTAACTTGAAATAATTATAGTTGCAAATAGTTACAAAAATGAATATTGTTAAGTGTAAGGAACCGGTCCAATAAAAGCTCATTTGCATGAAATTGTTCCTCTAACTATCAAATTTCAAGTTAAACGGTTTATTTATGCGGAACATTGTTGCCTAAAAGTATCTCTTAACCATCTTATTCGTAGGAAACAGTTTGCAAAATTTTGTAAACCTTCGAGATAGATATTCTGTTTGTTTGTTTTGAATTTCGTGCAAAGCTACACCAGGGCTATCTGCGCTAGCCGTCCCTAATTTGGTAGTGTAAGACTGGAGGGAAGGCAGCTAGTCAACATCACCCACCGCCAACTCTTGGGCTACTCTTTTTACCAACGAATAGTGGGATTCACCATCACATTATAACGCCCCCACGGCTGAAAGGGCGAGCATGTTTGGTGTGACGGGGATTCGAACCCGCGACCCTCAGATTGCGAGTCGAGCACCCTAACCACCTGGACATGTCGGGCCTTAGATATTTTGTGCTGTGTAATGTATTAAAACGCTAAATAGAGTGTATTGCTTGAGCATAAACGCAGTTCTAATGTACTTTTAAGAAGAAATAATAGCAATAAAATATTCTACTTTTACAAATGCCCCCCAGTGGCACAGCGGTATGTCTGCGGACTTGCAACGCTAGAAACCGGGTTTCGATATCCGTGATAGGCAGAGCACAGATAGCCCATTGTGTAGCTTTGTGCATAACTACAAAACAAACATTTACAAATAAAGTTTAAAAAATTCACCGGAGTTACATGTTATATTTCGTAAAATATATTTTCAAAGAAGTAAAAAGAAGTTTAAAAAGGGTGTAAGAGAATAGAAATTAAAGCACACTGCTCAAGGTATGTGAGCTCCAGGCTTTGAACTCAAACCGTTATAGAAATAAAAATCTGATATATTAATTATTTTCAATGTGCTTACCTGGGACCAATGGAACTGTATATAAAATAATTTTTATCTAAAAGTACAATAAAGTTAATGAATCAATTAACTTAAGCACCGTTGATGATTCAAAAATCTGTTACAAAGCAAAGCCCGTGTACCCATTCCCTTTAATTCCCTTTAACAAATAACTAACGATGTCAAGATCAACTTAGCAGCATCTCCAAAACTGTACTGAAATTTCTACAATATATAAACTCGCACTCCTAATTTGACAACCTGAAACACTACGAAAATGTAATAAGAACTGAATAAATAGAGTTGTTTAAACATCTGTTTAACAACAAGTAAAAGCTTGGAATGTTCTATTCTTTCATTGTGGTGTG